TTGTTTGCCTTTGCGTTGTGCAAATATTTAACTTGATAATATATCAGTTCTATAGGGGTTTTTCCTACTACTTATAATAAAAAATTGTGGACTTTTCCATTTGTTATGTATTAAAATAAACGTTCTTAAATACCATCCTAAATTTCACAATGAAAGCCTTATTTAAATACAAACTTTGTATGGTTATAATTTGAAATTTGATAACGCCGTGGCAAGACAGATGCTCTATAATAAATTATTTACCTATATATAAGCACATATCTCCATTCGTTGAGCCGATATCTCTACGCTGGCAGTTCATATACCCTTATCTATTTAAGCAAACTTTCATTTTTCTTTCAGTGGTCATTAACTCTAAGCACTGGGCCATAAAAATGAAACTAATGGCCATAACTCACTTAGGTAAGTCCCCAGTGGGGAATATACAAAAAAGAGAGCAACAGGAATTAGACGCCCCGTGGACGCAGGATGAGTGTTCACTGTACGGCGCACTCTCGTTACAAAGTGCGTGACCTAGCCCAACAATGACTGAAAATTGTTTTTCTCAGCGGGAATGGCTATCAGTTTGATGACTGACACTATAACACAAAGTCGAAGAACTTAAGCTCAAGATGATTCATCAGTGGATAAGTAAAATAAAATATTATAGAAAATGAAGAAAAAAATGGTATATAAATGGCAATTTGTTAGTCAAATGATTTTGATATCAAAACACTCATACACTCGCAAGCAGACTCTTCACACGAACACACACTGATGCACAGCAGGGATGCAATGGGAAAACAAACAGGAAAAGGTGGTCGACCTCGCGATGGGGGAAAAATGGTTGCAAATATTTAAAGAGCAGGAAATCCTCATAAAACTGGTTTAAGAAAAAATTTTTTAAAATATTTAAGTATACTAAAGCTATCCCATTTAATATTTATTAGAAATTTCTATGGTTTGACATTCAAAAAGCTAAACTGATAAGCCTTTTGAAACCAAGAATTTTAAAAACAATGCTAAACAATGAACAAGGAGAGAAAAATAAGGATATATCTAGAGAGCGGTGAGAAAGGAAAACAAAGGGAGAGAAATAAGGAAGGAGAAAGAGAGAAATGCAGAGAAACCGAGAGAGAGAGAACCGCCCAATGGCAGGCAACACTTTTCCCAACCGTCAACGCTGCGTATGCGTAATGTGAGCGAACAGTCAACCGAAAATGGAATGGCGGAAAATTAAAGTTTACCGCACGCCCCTGTCTGCCCCCCTTTACATTTTTTTTTTTGTAGAATTTCCCAACCCCCTTTCGCCCCCCTTTTTCGACAGCTCCAACGACTTCCTGACGTGCAGGCGAGCGCAATTTATGGCGTGGCAATGCGTATTGCTGGGAAAAGGGGGCTAAAATGGAACAGGGGTGCCGCCCAAGGGGATTCCAAAAGGCAACACCCTGTAAAGGGACACTAGGGTGTCCTTCCTTATATTCATCACCTTAAGTGGACATTTTTCATGTGGAATCCTTAAATTCCGAAAACTAACTACCTATTTAATTCAGAATTTCCTCAAAAAATCTTACAGTTCTAAAAAAGACATATGTTGTTAATTAATAATAATAAATAAAATAATATAAAGTAATGATTCAAAAATATTACCATAATGTGAATAAAACTAATTTTTTTATTGACATATTATAAAATTTTTTTTTTAATTTTTTACTATCTCTTTTTAAATAGTTTTCCTTAATTTCCTTAAAATTTATAATAAATAGACCTTATAAAAATTTTAAAAAATTTAGGACAACACTACGTATGAGTAATAACCGCCAGAAAGCTGACTTTTAATCCCATTTTCCTATTGTATACCTTTAATTAAAAACTGGAATTACAAAGACATCACCCTGTTTTCACAGACATACATAAATTAAACTGCATGTTTGGTCAGGGAAAAGTGGGCGGCAGAAGTTCAACCGTGTTTAATTTGCCTTCTTACACTTTTCCTCTCTTTTTGGCCCTAATGCACTCGCATGTTGCATTTACACAAAAATTTCCTTTTGCAGCGTTTTTCCTTTTTGGAACAAAAATATTTTTGTTTCGCTTTTGTGGGCTTTGTTCGTCGGCGAAACGTAGGAAAATACAAGAGGCAAATGTTTTCCTTTTTTTGTGAGTTTTTTTTTGTGCTGGTTCATTTGGTTTGTTGTTTGTTTTATGATTTTGTGGGTGGCGCTGACGAAGCGTTCTCTCTTTTTCCCCGGTTTTCCCTTTATTTTGGTTGTTTTGCTCAGTCAATTTAAATTGCATTTATTCAAATTTAGTTGACAAGGCTTGCGGTTTGAAAAGAATGCAATGACTTAGCATAGGAAAAGCGGCAAGTTTTGCAGTTGGCTCTTACAAAAAAAAAACATTGCAAGGTCTGAAAATTCCTAAAGAAACTAAGAGACTAACACAAATGACTAAGTGCAAAATTACATTATAAAGAAATATATTTTTTTTATCAGCGGAACCTCAAGTGTTTGTCATTTCATGTTTTAGTCAAACCTCGTTTTTATGTGAAAAGATAAGAATAATGTTGCAAAGACAATTAAAATGTGACTAATAGGGGTATTTAATATTTCCAGCGATTACAAAACATATTTTAAGCAACTCAAATAAAGTCAAGGTATTTCTATGTTGCGCATTCTTAACCAGATCTCCTTCAATTTAACTGTGAAAATATGGAAATTCTTCAATGAACCGGTTTTAGTCTATCAAAATATTTTTAATGCTTTAACATACTTTATATGTTTGAAAGGTAACCATGCTTTGGAGATACAAAAATTCATTTTAACACCTTTATTTACATTTTAAATGATTTTATATTATACTTTAAACATACATAAAAATTTTAATATTGCATAATATATTTGTCATCTTTTAAATTTTCTGATTGAAATTTATACGATGTTTTGTTTATATCAAAAGATTTTGTATTCTTATATACCCCAAGAAAACTATAAAAATTAACAACAGCCTTTTTAATCAATAATATACATTTTATAGGTCTACATTCATCATCAGTTCCACCTTAAAAACTTTGTTGCCAATGCATTAGTAGACAAATTCCTTCACCCAGCTTTCAATGGACACTTGATTTTCATTTCTAGACATTCCCATTCGCGGCTGATTGATAGCTGCAGTATTTTATGAGAGGTAGTTTACGATTACTTCCTCGTCGGCGTTTGTTTACCCTCGAGTGGGGAATTTTAGACCTGAGAGAACCGGCGTATCACCCATGTGACTCCGAAAATACAAGCACAAAAAGGGAAAGGTAAACAGAGGGGGTCAAAATATTTAACTGCAATTACTTTTGCGTATTGTTATTAACCACTACACTGTTATTATTATGCATTATGCTATGTACACGGGTAAATTACGTATTATTTATAAAGCACTTTACTCGCATAGTTCTGCGGTAATATCTACTATTTCCTATAACGATTTTGGTTGATTTTTCGGTTGTTTTTAGTGTTATTATTCTCTATGTATATTATTTTTTATTCGACGGACGCGACGAGAACGCGTTATAATGTTAACTGAACTGGATGAGAACTGAATCAAATGGAATCGGGTTTCCTATAAAAATGCCCCAACGAAAACGAAGAGAGAGAGGAAGAGAGCGACGAAGAGAGGGAATGAAGGAAGTGGCGATAAAAGAGTAAGCTCCACCGCTCTTTCAGAAATCGAAATATAAAATAAACAAAAGCGCAAAACGTGCGCAGACTGTGCGAGAGAGAGGGCGCGAGAGATGTAACCATATGCCGGCTGCAGCTTCTCTGCGGGAGCGAAAGAAAGGGGTAGAGGCGGCCAGAAAGAGAGGGCAACACCCAAATGCAAACGACAATAAAAAGCTTCAAAGTTAAGTCAACAAGGCAGCAACATCAAAATTTAATAGTCATCAAAAAATAAAAACAAACTGGACGATAAATGTACGTAGCTGTGCCAATTATCAGAAAAATATAGAGATGGAGATGAAAATGGAGGGCTAAAACTCGGAAGATTCTTCAGTAGCAGAGCTTTATGGCCGCCTAAGTGTTATGGGAAGTCAGCCAGGCATCCCCACATTTTTCAGTTACAGTCTGACCCTCCTAAAACCACTCAAAATAATTTTACATTTTTTTAATTTTTATAAAAATGTATACTTCATTAATAAATGTATATCTTTTTTGACTACAGTAGTAAAAATATTATATATTACCTTTTAGAAATATGATAAAATACAGATACTAAAAAGGTTTCGTTTTCCAAAAATGTCACATAACTTCAAATAAATTAAATTCCTAGTTATCTGACAGTTATAAATCGAATCTCCACTGTATTTGTCTGAGACTCCCATTAAGTACTTTAACATGAGATAAACTTTTAGTAAATTGCCGCAAGTGTTAAGAAGAGATTTGAAAATTGAAAAAGCAAACACGGATCCGACAGAACAGAGTATTTGCATATCTACATGTCCACACTAACTTGTATGCGTGGGTGACCCTTAACTAGGCGTTAACTGAGCTTAAATGGGCCTTAAGTGTCTCTAATTTATGGCTTATGTTGATGATGACAACAAGAGAAACAGACGAGAGCGATGGTCACTTAAAAGTTATGGTTAATATTCCACATTGTGCAACTAGATCTTATTTTATTATTTTTTGAAGCCATTTCTTCTCTTTTAATAGTTTTTTATGTGTTAATATTTTTCATATTTTTATTTAATAATTATATATATTTTATATTTTTATTTTAAAGAAAACCTCGATCTTTCCATATTTCCTTATCTGTACTAACTGCTTACTTTAATCAAAAAAACTGCTTTGAAAAAGTAAACTGCTTTAAGAAAGTTATATGTAATATTGTGTTGCATACTTTCCGGCTGCCATTTGTAAAATATATTTAAAAGAAATTTAAGGACTGCTAGGAAAAACTCAATAAAACAAACTTTCCAATCATCTATAATTCCATAACACCCCTTAAATAACTAATATTTCTTATTGAAAACTCACCGTTATTGTTGCTGATGGCGAATCGCTGCTGCAGCTGCTGTGCCAGCGCCTGGTGGTGCTGGGCCAGTGGGGTCAAAGGTGGTGGCGGCTGACCCACGCCCAATTGCTGTGGCGCCGACTGCGAATGCGGAACACCGCCGCTCTGTGAGGACGTGTCCGAGGAGCCGTCGCCACCGCCACCGCCGCCCACTCCGCCACCCACAAGGCCATTGGCCATGGCATTCTGCGGATTCTGTCCGTTGAACTGCTGCACGGAGATCGAGTTGGGAAGCCCCTGGTTCAGCTGCTGCTGGGCGGCGGAGATGAGCGGATTGCCGGCGGTGCCGTAGGTGGTGGCATTTATGGAATTGTTGGCCTGGCTCATGGAATTATTGTGGACGGCTGAGTTCAGCAGGGAGCCGTTGGCGGTGGCTCCGCTGTTGCTGCTGTTGTAATACGACTCCTCGCCTGTGAATCAAAAGGGGGAAACGGGGATAATCAATGACCAGTCGTAATTGAATCTTTAGAAATCGCTTATAGACTATTCTTTACTTATATTGTAAGAGAAAGTTACAGGGAATTAATAGAAAGAAATGGTTAAACGTTCAGAAATGACTTTTCTTATAATTAATTTTATTTCCTAACTGTGTCTACGACTTTGGTGACACGAAGTCATTCCATTTTTACTGATTACTTTTCATTTCCTTTTAAATACTTTCAGAAAACAAGATAGAATAATAAACTAAGATTATAAAACTATCGTATATATCTCAATTTTTAAATATATTTTAATTAATTAAAACAATAAAACATATCCTAAAAATATCAAACCAAAGTTTATCTATAGTAGAGATGATATTAATACATGATACTGCTTTAATACTCTATAAAAATGAACTTTGGTAATATGCAACCAAAAAATAGTTTTTAAAAAAATATATCAAGCCAAGGTGAATAACCTCTCGTAAAAAGCAAAAAATTCTTACAAATCGCTAGATGACAAAATTCCAAGAAATACTTTGCAGAACACCGGTTAAAATAGCAAACCATTCATAAAAGCTCTATTCTAACTTCAACTCAAAGCAGCTTTCTCCTGGCGAAAGACTTTCGCGTGGCTGGCGCCATCTGTGGGCGAGTGGCGACAAAAACTGCTTGCTTTGCCTGCCGCAAGCAGTTTAAAATTGAGGTAGGTTCGAAAATCTCGCTATAAAAATCAGCCCCCTTCTCCATTAATTCCCCCTTTCACACAGCCTCATTTGAATGCATTTCGCGTTTTATTGTGGAAAGGCTTCTTCTTGTCTTGTTTCCCCTTGGATGCCTACAACTGCCCATGGGCATGGACAATTAGCCGCCACTGATTAATTGACATTTAGCGGAAAAGTCGCGACTTGGCGACGGGACAGCAACTCGTAAAGTCTGCTGACAAGGCGCCTTCTTAAGGTGCCACGCCCCCATTGTCGTATCATTTACCTCCTTCGCCTTCTACACTACAAAAAATATTACTTTTTTTTTTAAAAAAACCTTAGCTCTCCAAGTGCAGATAAAATAAAGAGAAAAACACGCGAATTCTTGAGCATCTTTTTTCAAGAAGTCCATTTTAAGCTTTACAATGGTATGTATCTCATCAAGTATCTATTAAATGCGTTATTTTCAAAAGATATTATGCCTGTGTAGCCCCCATTACCTTTTCTCTTTCACCACAACCTGGCCAATTGACGAGCTGCCTGTCACAGCTCAACTACGCAACTGAAGCGGAAGGAAGACGCTTCTTCTTTGGCTGGCAAACAATTTAGCAGAGTGCTAACCTGTCTAGTTACGCACATCGGGGGCTAAGGGGTATATCACACTATAAGCCATGGCTATATCGTGCGTGGCTTATGGCCAATTTCCGTTATGCTTGCGCTTGCTTTTGGTTGCTCTTCTGGTTAAGCCGTAAGCAAAACTTGCCAACAATTGGCAGCCAACAAAAAGTTTTGTTGCACATGGCAAAAAAATACAGAAGAAAATACAGAAGCAAAGCAAAAATATAACAAAGAAGGAAAAGAGATGGAGGGGTCTCCAAAAACTTGTGGGAATAATCAGCAAGTTAATTTGTGCGCTTGGCACGCATTAAGAGATTCAACAAATGTAAATCTTGATGTATTCTTTTGGGGATTTCTTTGGAATTTATGGTATTACTTTGATATTTATTTTAAACTTTGGAAAGATTTAATTTTTTTCAGATTTTAAATTGAAAAAAGCCTTAGTTTAAATTGTGTGGGGACCTGAAGAATTCGCAGGGTGGACCTGAAGAATTCGCCTAGTGGACCTGAAGAATTCGCGTTTTTGTTAAAATTAACTTTTTAATCAAAATAAAATAAAGGCAAGATTAAAGGTCTTCGTATCTTTCTTATCTTCTCATCAAACTTAAAAGTTTGCTAAACTAAAAACTCACCTGGTTCTGGAATATTGCCCAGGGGACTTTCTGGCAGTAGAATCCCCTTTTGCACTAGCTCATCACGATTGGCACGCACAGAAATCTTACGCTCCAGAGCTATTAAAAAATACAAATAAATAAATATTACAATTTATAAGAAAATATATATTTCAAGAACTTACATTTGGAGGCCGCCTCGAACTTCTCACTCTTCTTTTTCCGCCGCCATTTCCAGGGCTTGAAGAATCTGCCCAGGGCACTGAGTTTGCTCTTTCTTTCCAAGGGCGGTGTCCTGGTGCCCGATCCCAAGCTATTTGTGCGTATGGCAGCTCCATTCTGTTTCTTAGCTGCAATCGAAATTGAAAACGAAGAGTGGCACAATTAGCAATTAGCATACATGGCGAACATTTCAATGGAAACGCTCTTGCGGAAACGGAAGAAGGCGTTCCCCCATTTTGGGCCACCGGTTATTAAATGGACGCATTCCACGCCCACTTTTACCGCTATTGTGGCGGAATGTTGTTTTTCATTTTTGATTTTTTTTTTGTAAGTTGCCGCGGAAAATATGTGGCAAACTGCTGGGTAAACTATTATGGCTTTTGTTGCACTTTTATACGATTGTGCAATCATTAATTAGTTGCTTTGGAAACTAGGAATTTTGTAATGGTTTTTATTTACAACAACAAGAGACAAAAATGCTATTATAAAGCTCATTAAAAATGAGAATTTAAAGCCGATTATAATACTATAAAAACGGAAACAGAAAAATTAATATTGATAATTTGTGTACTTGAGGAAATTGACTAAAATAAATAAATGTAGATGGTTTCTTCACAAAACAATCTATTTAAATTCCTCTTTTCTCTTTGAACAGACCCGGAGAATAAACTTTTGATTGAACGAAAAAGGTTTATAGATTTATTCTTAGCCATTTTCGTCACTCAAGCGAAAGAAGTTTCCCAGGGGAAACCTCTTTATTTTTCCAACTGGACAAATATTTAAATTCCGTTTCTGCCATTTGAGACTCCATGTCAGTTGCTTTGGGAATTCTCTTGGCCAAACAATTGATGTGGGGAAATGGAGAAATACACAGAGAAACCCAAGCAAAAGGATGGAGATAAGGTAAAGAAAAGTCAATAAAAACAGCACTAGATATGTCGACTCATTCCGAAGTTGAACCCAACCAATCCCGCCCACTTTTTCCCTGCTATTGATGCTGCCTTTCAGATAAGCTTTGGCATACAATATGGAGCATAAAAAAAAATACACCCACATGCGGAAAAACTTTGAAGTGCTGCCTGCATTGAAGCGTTGAAATTAGGCTACCTGAGAATAGGAAAAAAAGAGGGAATTTGTATAAGAAAATCAGGGGGAAGGGGGTGTGGCAACTGTAAAACTACTGCAAATGGGCTAACAACTATTTGGCTTCATGATCTTCTTACCATAACTGGGCTTCCCCCACTGCGACTGCTCCAATTGTGGTCAATTGTTGGTCAACAGCAGCCAGTTGCCGGTTACATAATGAAAAGCGAGGGGGGAAAAGGCAAAGAAGAAGTCCAGCATCTTTAAGATACTTCTGGTCTCGGTTTTGTGTATCTCGCAAATGTGTGTCACTTTGAGGGAATTACTTTTGCCAACAACAGACGCCCCACAAAGAATAACAGCTAGAAAAATCTTTGAATCATTTCGATTGGCGCCAACCAAAGAAATTTGTGGAGAGTAAAGAGGGAAATTGCGGAAAATACCCGGAAAATGGGGTGACAAATTTTCGGGTTGAACATATTTGTTTACAAAGAAATAGTAGCAGTTCTATTCAGTATTGAAAATACATTTAATGGTTTTTCTTTATGATATTTTTTTATTAGTTTGAAATTATTGCATTTAATTCTGATAAATATCTTAAGATTTCTTTAAATATAGAAAAACAAAATTATAAAAATGAAACCATAAATATTTTTTATTTTTTGAGATAGTTAATATATGCTTGAATATCTTTATTATTTCTAATTCGGCTTTATGAATATCTAACTTTTAATTGCTTTTATTCACATCTACAGCAAACAACTTAATTAATTCCAGTGCATTTCAATTTGTTTGTTATTTGTTTTTAACTCAATTATTCATATGGCTGAGAAAAAAACAGCCGTGTGCATCTTCCCACACAGCACTTAATTAGTTTCAAACTAATATGTTTCCCACTCAAAAGGCCATAAAACCAGCATACCCACTGTCTGGGGCAAACAAATTACACGTCATCAGAATCTCAGCACGAGACCAGAAATTGTTAAGGCGAAATGGCAATTTCGGACGCGTCTTTCCCAATTTCCGCGGCTGTTTCCCCTTATTTTTATGGCCCAAAGGGAAAACCAAATACAAAATCAGGCAAATAAAGTAACGTATAAAAAAAAATAACACAAAAATAACCAACAACGCAGTTGACGTTGTCGTCATTATAATATTTTTTTTCATTTTTTTTTGTTTTCACGTTTTTTTTCTGTGGGGAGAAACCGGTTTTGGGAGCTTCGTCGACGTTTGAATGAATGCAGCTTCCAAGATTTTGGCTTCTAAAAAAGCGTCAACAAATCCAACAACAAGTACAACAAAAGCGAGTGAAGGGCGCGGCAAAAACAACAATAATAATAAGGCAACAACAAAATCAAAAAAAGTAATGCTATGCGAACGCGTGGAAAACGGGTTTTCGCGAAAGTTGTTGTCATTGTTCGCCCGTTGTTGCTATTATTGTTTTTGCTGCTATTCTCGCTTGAGCGGCATTTTTTCACTGTTACAGTAAAGCATTGATAAATTGAATATTTATTGAAATTTAAAAAAAAATTAGAGTATTTTTTAAAAAATAAAAACCAGTGACATTTGCATTTCTATTTCAAAAAGAGAGTAACACTATTTTTTTGGTAAATAAATTTATTTTATTATCTTAAAAAAGATTTTGTTAAAAAAATTGAATTAATTGAAAGTGTTTTTTAAGGTATGGGTTTTAGAATTTTGAAATTGTTATTAAATGTTTTTATTTCCTTTTACATTTTTTGCGCGATTTTTTCCCTCTATCTAAATTTAATGTCAATAAAATTTGGTAAATCTATAACAAATTTTCTCTTAAATATTTGTATATATTTTTTGGACACCACATTAGTAATTTTTCAAGAAGCTCCACTGTATTTGGTTTCGAATTTTTCGGGGCGCCCGCCAGATTCGCTTGAGGCCAAAACCGAGACAGTTAAAGAGGCAGAGAGAAAACCCAAGAAATATGGCTGACTCTTGCTGGAAAAATGTTTTCTTCTCATTGTTGTAGGTATGTAACAAGATGCTTGGAACCTCAAAGGGGGGACCAGGGCAAAAAACACAGCACTCGGGGCAAAAACAAGCCATAAACTGAACTGGCAGCCGAAAGTCAAGGAGTAAAAGTATGAAAACATCCATTCGATATGCACGGATAAATTATTACGAACACAAGAATTATGAATGTTCAAGCCGGATTTATGTAAAAGGGTTCGAGAGCGATGGCTTTCCACTTGAATTTGCATTTACAAGCAAAAAAGAAAATGTTTTTGTTTTTATACCATTAAAAAAAATGTTCATTTCATGTTATTTTTAACTTTTCATTTGTATCCCACACAAGACTTTCGTAAATTCCTTTCGACATATTTATTTAAATTGCCTCTTTTGTATAAACACTTTGGGGCTTCGTCTATAAAATAAACCTCTCGTGTTATTTACAAGACTAGCACGATCTATAGTAGATATACATTTGAATGCCGTTCTATGTGAAATGTCAATTGGCGTGTTCCACTTTAAAGCGCACTACTCGCTTATAAATAAACAAAAATCGTCGCTGATAACTACACCGCAAACACGAAGAATAACTATATAACAACAAAACCGGACAGCTAACAATAACATGGGGGAATTTATTTGCGCAACGTGATGTGCTCAACAATTTGTTAAAATAACACAAAAAAAGAAGAGCTGAGAAAAAACTTAAGCCGGGGGATTTTGAGCACCTAACCATAGTCAGAGATATATAAATTATTTCTACGATTTATCGCATGCAACAAAATTTGTATTTCCATTGGCGAATAAATTACGACAAACGCAAAAGTCGAGTGAAAAATAAAAGACAGAGGTTGTCACAACATGTCAAAGCTGAAATCCCACAAAAACAAACCTAAAGTTAATTACAACGAAAAAGAGTAATGATTTTGGTGGTGGGTGCGTGAGAAAAATGTCTTAAACAAATTGTAATGCATTGTTTAGTTACGTTTTAAATATTATATCAACAAATATTTTCACAAAACTTTCTTGTATTAAAGTTATCATTTTTTCCATGTAAGAAATCACAAAACAAATAATACAACTTCATAATTATTACTTGCTCATCTCTAGGATTAAGCCATGTAGAGTGAGGAAAAGCATGGCCAAAATGTCAAACAGGTGAAAAGTGAAACACTCGCGAAGAAAAGAAAAAGTGTAACAAATTGTCTGAAAAATAAATTGGAATTTTCTCTAATTTGCACCTCATGCTAATATAAAATAGATGTCTTATGGCATTTTACTTTATTTTATGAAGGTTATCCGCCGCTAATTGAAGCCAGGCAATGGTAATTACAAATGAATTGAACGCTGGCAATTTGTGGGCCCGGTCTAATGTCGATTTGATTGCAATATGAAGCCTAAAATTAAATGTAATCGTTTGCAATCGCATGGGCAAGTGAAAGGGGTTGGATTTTTGGGGGGTACAGGTAACGCCTGGTGGCACGTAGTTGAGCAAGGTATCGAAAGAGCATCGAAATGCACATGTACAAAATTTTAAAATCGCATTACGTATACGCAACGTTGCGCAGCAAAGGGTAAACATGGGCGGAGGGTGTATTTGAATTTGAATTTGTTTATTTTTGTGTGCTTTTCGTGAATGAACCGAAGCATTGAAGCATAACCTAGTCGTCGCCAATGACAAAATCCGATTCACTTTACATTGCCCATCGATAGTTGTTGACATTGAGAACAGTGACAGCTATGACTATGGAAATTATATAGAGTTACTTGATTAATAGATCCTCAGAATAACTGTAAGTTTGGTATACAACAAAAGATGATCATATCATATCTTATGAATACAATTTACTAAGCATTTAGTTTCTTTATATGGTATTTAACATATCCAAATGTATCCCCTAATATTTTTAAAGGAATATCTAATCACCATTATTTTTAATTATGAGCATTCAACTAAAAATGTTTAAATATTTATAAATATCTTCAGCTGTCACTATAATACAACAACAACACCTTTCACCTGTCACGTGTCATTCGAGATTTATTGCCATCAAATTCC